GTTTGAATAAAATATTATTTTTTCATTAAGAATGCTTTGAATAATATTTTTAAAACAAGCGGATTTTAAAAATGGTGATCAGTAGTGTATGTAAAAGAAAACTGAAGTCATTTCGCTTATATTTACTAACTGATATTTGCAAATAAAACCGAAAACATAAGTGTCCCAAACCAAATATGATCTACTGTATCTGTATGTCACGTAAAGCGTATTTGGATCAAACATAAAAAAGATCCAATGTTTTCAATTCGTAAGAATGATTTCGTAATGTACAGGAAGATGCTAATAAGAAAGCCAGTGGCAGTTATCCTTCATAGTCTTCAACGGTTGACAATAATGTAAACGTTGACGATTGTTCCTGAAATATCATCTCTTGCATCTTTTCAGACGACAGCTAATAAGCTTAATGTACGGAAACATATCTCATAATTTCTCATGGAATTTCCAGTAAAAGAAAAATGCATTTTCATTTCGTCTTTTAAGCATTCACTGCAGACCAGAAAGAGACTGAATTTCCGTATGTAAAGTTTTAAACCAAATTGTAGACGCAAATCGTGATTTTATTTATAAGCAGTGTGGCAGGAAATGAAGCTTAATACTTTGCTCCTGACAGTCAGGTAAATGCAGTCCTCTACTCGGCTGTAGAACATTCAATTTAAGTACAGAAATTTGTTTCCAAATTCTTCAGTAAGGGACCTGATGACCCATGACCTGTTTTAACCAGAAAGGAACAATTCATAAAGAATATGTTCCTGACTCAATGACAGCGAACAATATATTTTATAACGATATAATGAACCTTTGACGCTAGCTCAGGCACGAGAGGCACAATCATATAACTGTTTCCGTTGCACAAGAAAGCGCAGTCATAGATATTCCTTCTCGAGAAGCAATTTTAAGATAATAAAAAACCTCACAATTATCAGTCACCCAGCTTATTCCCCAGATTTTAATGCTGATCAGATTTCCTGTAGTGAAAGGAAGTTACGCATCAAAAGTCATAATTTTAACTGAAGAGATTCAGAAAACCCTAAAACGAGACTTCAACAGTAGTCCAAAAGTTAAGTTTTAGGAAGGATTTAAGTATTTGTATAACCATTCCAAGAACTGAAGAGATTTCAAATGAATATGTACTAAAGGCTAAAAATCAGATTTTTTTCCCTTTGATTTTCAAGTTTCAACGTACTCTGAAAAATTTATAGCTGAATATATTCGTGTTCATTGTACCAAAATCAATAATTGGTTATTTTCATTTTTGATATCATTTGGTTGTTTTTTCAATGTTTTCGTAAAATAAATATAGCATTGCTTTTCAATATATTTCTTCTTTTGACAAATATTTCTGCTTAAATTCACAGAAAATGTTATTAGCGTTTGATGTACACACGATATTTTTCGTGCTGTAGTTCGTGTTTATTCCAAATGGCTGACTAGCGGTTTAACATAAGTAATCATATTAGTTGTTTAACAAACTGCACCTAACTGCTTGCTCTCGTGATATAAGTTGTTATATAGTCAGCATTAGGCGAATCGTGGTTCGAATCCTGGCAAGGACATATTTGACTTTCCATGCTTTCTGCTCCGAAAAATATCCCACTGTCCCTACAAATGTATTTGAAATGACATCCGTTGGATGCTTTAATAAAAAAAAAAAAAAATCTGATATGCACACCACATGACTTCCTTGTGCGGAATATTAAATTATACACATTTTTTCTTGCACTTCATTTAAACTTTATTGGATTTAATTAAATCTACTTCATCGACAACGCATAAACCACAAGAGAGTAAATGCACTCTTTTAAAATTCACTATATTTGTTTACCATAGCGACACTCTGGTGCTAGGTTCACTTTAACAGCGTTACATTTCATTTATTTTATAACTCAGAATTTATATCATTTGAAGAATTATCTAATCTTTGCCACATGTTCTATTCAAATACTATAATAAATCTAAAACGATGTATAAAAGAAATTAAACAAACAAAAAAAAAAAAAAAAAAAAAAGAAACAGTTTTTCACAGACGATTCAGTATTTCTCATTCAATTTATTCAGTTCTCACTTCGCAATAAGGCAAAAATACATAAAAACTCAAAATATCTACATTAAAAATTACGAAGTAAATCTTAAATACTTATTTCTTCGAATAAATTCCAGAATGGATTAAGCATGATTTAATTTGCAATAATAAAAGAAGGCGTTAGTTTTGGTGTGGCGAAGCTTAGTTTCTATAGATTGGCAACAAATCCACTATTCTGCTAAGTTTCAAATGTAAACAAGTATACGGCCGCTAGCGTGAATAAAAAATTAAGCTTAGTCCGCACTTCAAGACAACTTTCAGAATGTTTTCGATAATTCTACACAGTTATTTCAATGCAGGTCAACTAAAGGCATAAGAACCTTAACCCGGAAGATAAGAAAAACCTAATTCAATCATTCTTAAAGCAAAAAAAAACGCACGATTTATAAACATATAAGAATAAAGAAACTGACATCACTGAGCTAAGTAACAGAGTGGATATATATATATATATATATATATATATTCATATACTTTTGGTGCGGCCGATTGCAACCAAAATACGAGGTGCACATCCACATGTTATAGCAGTCTTATATACAAAATTTCAACGTTCTGAGGATACTCGTTTTTGAGTTATGCAAGATACGTACGTACGCACAGACGCCACGAAAAATTCTCTTCAGAATTCATTTTAAATCAGTTTTATAACTTTTTTGAGGGCAAAAGAGTCCTTTAATCTGTCCTTACGTACAGATATCATGCAAAAATATCGTTAAATTGCATTCGATAGCGGCCAAATTGGATATTTTTGTTGAAATATGATACCTGAAATTTTTCGCGATTACAATACTTCCTTTTTACTTCGCACACGGAAAGAAAAATAAGAGCATTCATTGTTTTTAAATCAGTAATTTTTTTAAACAATACAACTAAATTTCAAAGATATGTCAGATGTCTCTCATATCAGATGGCAACAACTTGAAATGTCCGAGGCTGCGTTGAAGATCAATGTTTTGTGGTTCGTGCAATATCAACATTTCCGTAATCGTAGGGATCCTAAATCCAAGATAGTGTAACGCTATGTAAATATCCAAAAATTTGCATAAAAGAGCCTATTTAAGATATTTCTTACGTCAAGTGTCCTGAGAAGAGTCGAAAATGTTATACTAACTCAGACTAAGAAGTGGAGAAAGAGGCGATAATGGTAAACAATCTCTATTCATTATGGTAGGAAACATAATAACTCTACGTTAGGAATCTTTTAATCACATGATGAATGATATAATTATGTTTACGCAATGTGAATCTCTGAGATATTAATAAATGCGTCGAAAATGAAATTATGGTGAATACTTCGTGTGCCATCGGCTCCTCCTGTTTGCAGTATGTCACTAGCAACTATTTTACGCGATAAATTGTTTCGACTTTTTGGTTTCTAGTTTTCTTCTAAGGCGCATTCTTTTCATTTGAAAAGCCTTATTCCAAATGACAGGCAAAATTCCAGCATTTCGTTGTCTGAGGTGGCAGCAGAAGTATCGTAGTGTGCTCCAATGTAATTACGTTCGTAACAAAATTTTGTGCAGCCATAAATAGCTTTGGAGGTTCGTGTTTCTGTCTAGTGGCATCTGAGTTAAGCGCCTTTTTTTCGGGACGCATCTAAGTAAACATTAATCCAATTACAGGGTGTAGTGAGGTCACGATGTTCGCTTCTAGCGAGTAATCTTATTCTCATGTGTCAGAAAATAAGCTGAGGTAAGTAAGATACGGGATAACACTTTAACCAGATAAACTCAAACACTATATTTTTTTTAAAAATTGGCATTATAGAACGTGCATGTTAAATCAGGAGCTTGCAATTAAAAATAATCAGCATATTACTAACAGACTTTTAAGATGGTTAGTTTGTGAAAGATTAATAGTGAGCCAAAACATGTAATTAGTTATTCAAAAAAGTACTTAAGAAGGGTACAATAAATGGTGTTAGAAACATATTTTATTAATTTGAGTAATTCTGTAAATTTTATTTAGCAATCTGCGATAAGAGAATAGTTAGTCCTCAATGGTGCACTAAAATACATTAATTAATCTCTGATTAATTGAATGATTTCATATACGGAGTACAGTAGATGGTGTTAAAAACATCTTTTACTAAGCACATTAAAACTGCAGATGTTCATAAAGTTCATCTGTTGGATGTATTATAAATCAGTTATATGTGTTGTTAAAGTAAAATATAATTTAAATTATTAGGAAGTGCGTTTAATGACTTGAAAACCGGCCGTTTATTTAAGCATCTGCAGATTGATGAAATTTGAAAGATAAATTAAAGATCTATTACTTATTGAATGACAACACTCTAACATGTGGTTATGGGCAATGCCGTGTGGAAGATCTAATAAGACATTGTAGAGACATTAGGCATTTTTTGGAAGCAAGCAAAATGAAAAATTAGCAACGCCTTCGCCGGGAATAGAACCGCGGACCTCTGGAATACGCGCCCAGCGTGCAGACCACCACACCACGAATACATGCCATGAAGGCGGGCGAAATACCTTATAACATTATATTTCACATAATAAGAACGCTTCTGAAGACTTGATACTTTCACCGTCGGTTAACAGACTTTACAAATCAGGTTCCCAGAAATTTAAGCGATAATTTTTATTTCCTGTAACTTAATCTTTATTGTTAAGGTAACGGGTGGTTCATAACTTAAAGATAATGAACACCTCAGCTCATCTTACGATATTAAATCTATTAAATAGATTGATCATATAATTATTAATGGGTAAATCTTGCCTGATCCGTAGCACAAGGGATGAATTAAACAATGGGTTAAAATTTCATGGTCTGAACATATCACTTACCGACAATTTATTGTATTTTTACATATTTAAATAGTGCTTCATTTTGGAATTTTTTTACACAAAATTAATTTTAATACATACTGATAATGTGCTTTTTCTTCTTTCAGCGCTTTTCTTGGTTTGCCATAGTCTTCATTATTATAGTACCAGAATATTCATGCCTTTCAAGTTCAGTTCTTGAGACTAGTAACAATAATCATAAGTCAACTCGAACTTTCGAGACAAATGGGCGATTTAGACGAAAAAGGGAAGCAGACGAGGAAGATGTTATCAATCGATTCGAAATGGAAAGAGTTTCGCCTTTATACGACATTGTTCGTCACCTCCCTCCTTTCGAAGAAGAGTGGATACCGTCACCTATAACCACAACTACTTTGACTCCTGAAGTCTCAGCAAGGACTTCATCCACAACCGAAATAAAGATAGATGTGTCCCGAGATGAAGATCACGTGGTGAGTGAGAGTGGAAGACAATACGGTGGCAATTCTGCCCGCAGTTGGTTCTACAGTGCAGAATCCTTCTCGAGTTCGAGTCACTTCGATTTGACAAATACAGAACTAGAAGAAGGGAGTAAGTTTTACACCAAAGTTTCAACCAGTCGACGTCAGGATGAAGATCATGTGATGAGCCAGTCTCCGGGATTGATGACATCTCGCATTTCTCTACTGGACGAAGTTGTTGTAGAATCTCCAACGACTCCTTTCATCAACGTGACAGTCACGCCAAAGGTACAGGAAGAAAAACCAAACATCACCACTCGATATATCCTTTTGCAGTCTGGCAGAATAGTGGCTATCAACGTGACATCTGTATCATCCGCCTTCAAAACGAGCGGAGGAGGATCTTCTTCTAAACCATTCTCTCCCACTCGCACAATTTACTTTGGTAGTCGGTTAAAAACGCAGAATAATACAACATCAGTCAATATTAGCAATGTAAACCGGTTAATGAGTGGGCAATCTACTTTTTCGAGTACGCCATCAACCCCCATCAGAGTTCAAACTGAGAAAATATCTGATGCTCTGAAAAACAAACAATCTCCAACCAAAAAGTTAATAACCACTAGCAAGAAGCCAACAACCGAAATACCGAAAGAATCAGCAAGATTAGTTCACAAACAACGTCACTCGAGTACAGCTACTTTACTAGTCACAAATCCACCAAAGACGACTGCTTTGAGATCATTCGTTGAATACAGTAATGTCCGCTACACATCTGGTGACACCATAGAAAAGATTTTCGATCTTCTTCAGCCTGATACCACCGATATACCTTTCTTTGTCATTACTTTCGATTCTTTGAAGAGGAATCAACAAGAATCCCCGAATTTAACAGAAACTACATTTAGCGGCTCGACAACTAAAACGCCTGACCATGAACAAAAAAGTAGAAATCTCAAATATAACGAACCTATAATTCTACAAAAACCTCCCCAATTGCAGGAGCAAGATGCATTTTTGAATTCCAGAGAGAAAGTGGCTAAGAATTCCGGAATATCATCCGTTCAGCGCAAGGAATCGGTGACTAACAACAGAGGTAAGGATTTCACGAAAAAGGTAATAGCTGATAGGTAATAAATCTTGCCTGTAAATAAATATAACATACTAGGAACAAAATGAAAGAAACTTAACGATTATAACTTAACGATGTTAAAAATGTAATGTTAAGAGTAATGTTAAAAGTCACCTCAATACCGTGATAAAATTTATTATTACTGTCTGCCCTATACGTACTCCAAAATGTTAATATTAGCTGCTTTAGAGATGACTATATTCTTTATCTTAATGCATTAAAACGTATTCTTAACAGTCGAGTAGCAGCAACTAGATTTTGACAGCAGAAGTTGAGATACCAGCGAACATTCATCACAAGACCAAAAGCCAATACCGAGGATATGTCCATTTTGCTTTTTGTGATTCATGCGTGAACACGTGAAAGACGTATTCCCTGACGATGAATTCAACACAGATAACGACATAAAACACGCAGTGCATCTAAGAATAAGAAGTCCTTTTTCCCGATGTTATTCTGCTCAGGCCGCCTTATCGATTACTGAAATAACACCATCTATCACGTTGCGATTGTGTTAAGAATTGGTGAAATACTTTAAAAACATACTGAGGTTGCAATATATCTTTTCTGATATACTGTTTTTTTTTCCTTTCGTTTTTGAATGCAAAATGCTATAAGTAAAAAAAATATCAAAATGTTTAAAAATACCGTTAAAATAATTAATATATAAAAATAAAATTGTAATTAAATTAACAGAGACTTTCTTTAATAAGGCAGTGTATTTTTCGATTGATTTCTTCTAATATCCTATAATAGGTGAAACTGCTTTATTTATGACATGGTATGAAATAATTCTTGAAGTTAAATGACGCTATTAAACGCAAAACAAATTTTAAATGATTATAAAATTTCAATTTTTTGCCACCAAATATTATCGCCTTGCAATATTCGTATATTTAAAAAATTAAATAATGAAGAATTTGCATGAATATATGCATGTTTCTTGCATTGGGAAAAAACAACGATAACAAGAGCCATCAAATTTTTAATAACCTCCACCCTTACACAGGCATCTGGAAGCCGAATTTTGAATTTCCAATTTGTTTTATTATCTATTTCATATTTTGCAAAACGTTAGCGAATTTTGATTAACAAACTCAAGAATTTCAAAGTCAGCAGTGGCGACACTGTACAGGATAAAATATTTTTATCTCCAGCCTTTCTGCCGGAAATTCCAAAGATATGCTGTTTCAAAATATTTCGTTGTTGAATTGAACTTTATGTGGCGTAAGCACCAAGAACGCGATATTTAATAAATAAAGTACAAAAAAAACGTTAATAATAAAAAGAAAAAAAGTTTTGTAAAGCCATCTTAATAAGAAAATGTGTGTGTGCGATTATGGCAAAGCCTCCAGGGCTACCTGCCTAAGGGGAGGGGCGCCTTCGTGGAGGACTTTCTAAGGGAAACTGGCTCGTATACACGTTACAGATGGGGAAAACCACGAAAACGCACATGCAGCCGACCTGTTCGCGGGATTCGAACCTCGGACCGAACTACTAGCGTTCAGCGACTTTACCGCTCGGCCGCTGGTGGGCCCTTAATAAGAAAAATTTTACATATAATGAACTAAGGAAAGACTGAAAAAAAAATTGTTTGCCAAGACTTAACGTTGCATCAGGAATTCTAAGCGCATAGTGCTATGCTTGCTTTTAAATATATATATATATTTTTTAAATTTGCTGTTGAGATATATATGATGAGAGTGCGAAAAGATTTATGCTAAAAAACAAAAACAAAAACAAAAATGTGTTAGTAGAAGTGAGTGTAACATGAGGATGTATCGGACTTGTGTAGATTGCGAGGTCAACGAGAGCGTAAAAAAGCCTTATGGGCGACCGTTAAAAACTGAAACCTTTGATTTAAAAAAAAAGTTTAATTAATTGCATAATCGTGCTTTGTTTTATATATCAATATATTGCATTGCCAGGAAGAACAGAGTGGCAGCTCGATAGCCATACAAAAAGAGAAGCTATATTTCCGACATTAAAATCCAGCCTAAATAATTAATTTGTTCAGATATAAATATTAATAATAAATTTCGGATGCACATTTTAGTTACTGCTGAATTAATTGAAAAGTTTCTGAACGACAAAAAAAAAAAAAAAAACAAGAGAAGTCTCTTTCAGTCTTATAACAGCCAGCGCATTATGGCATTCTGAAATTGGCATACTGTAGCTCACACTGGAAGTAGGCTTCTCACGCATTAAGTATCAAATAAGTATGGCGATTTTCTTACTGTTAAAAACTTATCAATACTTCAAAAACGTTCTATATAGTTTTATGAATTTCTTTTAAAAATAAGGTTTAACTACATTAAATAACAACTTGCATTTAGAAACTACGGATTACAGCCTAATATTGGGATGAATCTTAGCAGTTGTAAGATAATGCATGGAAAAAAAAGGAGAGAATTTGGCTTACAGAAGATGACTAAAAATAAGGATTATATTAATATTTAATGCTAATTATAGAAAAAAATATTATCTTCTTAAAATAATCGTTTATAACCATGGTGGTGCATGTCAAAGCAATGCGTCATCTAATCGTTTTATGTCTTATTCAAGTGAATTATAGACCTATTTTTAATCTCCCAGGCCTTTTTATTGGAAGCAGCAGGATCTGCTTTTCTATAATTTTCCTTCATCATATTTTGATAATATTCAGCAAATATTTTATCTCAACAGTAGGTTAAAATTACTCGAGGTGGTTGCGTCCCAGCTCCTTCACAAAGGATGTTCATTCAAAGGTCACAGAATTTAGAATATAAGCCTGACCGTGTATATGTCAAGCAATAAGATTTAGAAAATTGAAATTTGAGCCTTATGTATGACCCGAATTGACATTCAGGTCCATGAACAAGTCAAATAAAATTATCCTGTAAATCCAGCTCACTATACATCGCTGAAAGGGCGAATACTTTGTCGTTTAAACTTAAATCTATCAAGAGGAGCTGACTAAACTTAAATCTATCAAGAGAAGCTGTAGTTGACTAAGTTCTAATTCATCTTTAGCTTCCCATTCGATAAATAAGGACAGTGGCGTTGTAGAATGAAAGGGCACTTTCAGATCCAATAGTTTTTCTTACTCAGTTCTCGTGCCTTTGAAACTTGTATACAGCGTAAAAAAAGGGACAGTTCTACATCTCCCGTTCTACTGGACAGATTGACGAAATTTAAATTGCGTTTTTCGTGTCTCCAGAGCGCGACTTAGGATGATATTAGATTTATATATAGCTTCACTCTAACACAGATATTCTGACACAAAATCAGACTTTTTGTGAAATGACATGCCAATTTTTTCTTCATATTTCGATTCTACGACTCAAATTATGCCTAAATATTAAATTTTATAAAATATGGTGCGAAATTTAAGAAGAAATTCGAAAATTTTATTTTGTAGTATTTATTTCAATTTTCGCCAAGTATAATTTACCTGGCGAACTACTTAGTTTATAGCAACCCATTATCCTATTCTTTTTTCATTGCAAACGAGCGGGGAAAAAAGTCATCCTTTATACCTTCAAATAATTTTAACAAAGTACGTATTATCATTTGGCGTTATTATCAAAATAAATAAATAAATAAATAAATAAATAAATAAAAAGATGCCAAATTTCAAAACGCTCCAATATGTAAATTCATGTATATCTTAGGAAATTTTGAATAAAAAACTTGTAACCAATCCTTTAACATAAACTGTTGGACTACCTGTGACAACAGTGGCTGCCCTCGTTGGGTGCCAAACTTTCTTGGGGAAAGTTTAATATGTAATAGAAGATCCTGTACAGTGTAACTTAAATATCTGTTAATAAATATTTGTTACACTATACCGGACTCTTCTATGACCCTATCTAAAACGACCCCTTTACAAAGTGACGCCCAACGTTAATGCCCAACTTTAAGAATTTTCCTTGGCTTTTGCTCATTTTATTTTTCAGAAACAGTATTTGCAGCCACACCCGCTGCATCTAACTCCTACAACTTTAGGAAAGGAAATACCTCTCCCGTCAGGTATGAGGTTTTTTTTTTTTTTTGTGTGTGTGTGTGTGCCACTCCGATGGCCTATCAGCAACAAATAGTTGTCGTTAATGATATGGTTTGTTTTGCATTTAAACACTAAGGTTCTATAATGTTTTAATCCTTAATGTTGAAAACGTGAAAATACTTAAATATAAAAACGTAAAAATACTTAAATATAAACTATATAATATAACTGTGTTCTTAAAGTATATGTAGTGGGGGAGTTGAAGATGCTAAATAACAATTCCGACGTTGTTTTCCACACAACAGAACATTTAATAAAGATAATCAGAAAAGGTACAAATTAGATTAAATACAGTGCCGTTTGATACAAACAGGATTCTGTATAGTTTTACCAGTCTTATCACATAAACGATTAGTGCCTACTCGCACTTGCTGATGTATTAAACAGTTCAATTTACCACCTTCGCGTGGAAAACTACAGTTCCTTATTCTACACCTTCACGTGCAGACAGACATCTCACCACCTTCGCGTGGGATAGCAGAAGAGTCTCTGTCATACTCCTCTTTCACCTCGCTGCTGGCGCATCGGTGAGGCCCTCTGGTGGTTGTGTCGCACTTCCAGATACTACATATATATGTGTATCTTTCATGAATATTGTATCATTTTGAAGTGATTAAGAAATTCTTTCATTTTGTTTACACATGAGGGCTCTAGAACTGCATAATCATAATATTCAGTTTTGTTTCGAAATGGTAAATGTGGTAAAACATAAAAAGGTAATAATATATTCAAAGCGAAGCATTTTAAGAGTAAAATTCTGTATTCTGTTAATGCTGAATGTATTAAATCTTATAAACGTAGTTTCGATTTGAGCTTAACTTGACGAACCAGTGACTCAATGACATGTTTATTACCCTGTTGGCTCCATAACGGTTTTATTTATTGATATTTTTTTCTTCCCTTTCCGCTTACATTGCTG